CATAAAGAATGCCATCAGGAAAGCATGGTGTCAAGACAAATTGTTTGTAGGGAATTGACTCTGGTGTTGGAGAATTTTGGCTGATGTTCTGTCAACAGAATAAATATCAACAAATGAAGTGAGTGCAGAGGTGGTGAGCTGTAATAAAATTTTAAGGACTGAAGACAGAAGATTCTAAATCTCTCTTTTGCTAATTCTCTGAGTCTGTATGTGAGAGAATTGCATCACATGATCTTGAAGTCCCTCCTAGTACTGATATTCTGGAATTTCCTCTGTCCTTCATGATCTCACACACAATGTGTTTATGATACGATTACCTGCAAAAATTATAAAAACTAAATTGTGCTGCTCTTTAGGATTAGTTATACTGACAGAGATACCTGCCATAGGTAGATAGCAGTCTTAACCATTTCCAGTTTGAAGTTTCATTGCAATTAAGAAAAATGAAAGCAATGTCAAAATATGTATGTATATGTTTTAATTCTTCTAGTTAATTAAGCATGGTTCGAAAAATGCAATGTAATGTAACTCATATGTTGCAATGGAAGTTATTGTGATTCATTACTGGTAATCTATTAGATAAAAGCAATTACAATTTTCAAATGACAAGCATCTTAATTTTCAAACTTACAAATGTATTACTACAGCTGTATTTATCACTGCATTTTAAAAGTCTTCATGAGTACACAAATTGATGTTGTTTGTAAATTCCAAGCATGGAAAGTCTCCCATCCTATGTAAAACTCTAAATTAGGAAAGCCGTGTTGAAGAAGTGGATATTCACAGGGTGCAATTTGTTAATTTTTAGTGCACATGGAGTATGCAAAAATAATTTTAAAACAGCTTTCAATCTATGCAAATCTGTGTCTTCTTCACACAAGGATGCCTTCATCCTGATGAGGAATAAAGACTATTGAATGAAGAAGCAAGATATCTGCTTGTGTATGCATATACACACTCAATAACTAAGTGTGGTTATGGATATGTTAATAAATTTGAATATGATAATCATATGTATTGTGTATATATACATATATATATATATAATCACCATTTATAGATGTTGAACATAGATCTTCTTTTGTTTAGGGTTTTTGAGACAGGGTTTCCATATGTAGTCCTGGATGGACTCGGCACATGATTTTCTTGTCACATGTGTCTTCTTGAATATGGCAGTCACAGGCATGTTCCTCCATACCTGTCAAAGCTTTTATGAATTAGTTTTACTACAAACAAGTTGGAAAATAAAACGAAAACTGGTAAAACCAATGAAAGTGAAGCATAGGCTAATATTATCGTTAGCTCACTGAGGCATTTCCTTCACTTATAGAAGAATCTTCAATTTTGGTGAATTAGAAAGGACATCTACAGGCTCTAGTGGAACAAACTACTACAACACTCACCTAAAAAATTGGGGCTTATAGAATGGGTAAAAGTCATCAAGTTTTTATGTACAAAAGATACATTACTAATATTTTTTGCTCTTGAGTCCTATTCAGCAAGGTCTCTATTAAATAACAACTATACACACTTAAACAATAGTCTCCTATGCAACAGGAGAATGGTTTTAATCATAAGGAATCAATTTTTAAATTTCCACCAGGTGGAAAAGATTTTAGAGAAGCTTTTCCCTTCCAAAACTTTCTAAACACATGTCTTGCTTTAAAAAATTAGGGCACATAGAATTGTAAAAAGAAGAAATTGCTTAAATACATTGAAGAGAAGACAAGAAGACCATAGAAATCAGGTTTGATATCTATGGTGATCTCAGGGACATTTCCTGCTGGTGAGATTGTGTGTATCAAGAAAGTGAAGATGAAGAGAAATGTCCACTGATGTATGAGATCCACATAGGCAGGTGTGTTATTTTGTATTTATTTTTAATTTGCCTGTTTTTGATGTATATGTATGCTACATTGTTTCCATTCCCAAATTAATTTACTTATTGTCAGAAATTTGACACATTTCTCTTAAAAGATAAACTTTTCACCAGCCAGCTTCAATATGTCATATTTATTTTTTAATTTACCTTCATCTAGCAAGTAATCAACAAAGGAAGGGTAAAATGGAATGTACCCCACCATGAGTAATACTATGTATATTCGTGTGTTCTCCAGGAAATAAATAGTTGAAAAGATATTGCTGCTTCACATGTATTTAATGTTTGTCCATTATGTATGTATCATCTGCAGATTGACCTTTTCAAACGACTACTCCTTTCAAAGTACCTCACACTGAGTATTTTGAAGGGTTTATTATTTTAAGAAAGTGGTTCACAATCTCCACTTGACCATGCTGTTGTGGAATCAGAAAGCTCAATAATTCTGTTACCAAGTCATGCTTACCCTCATGGTTTATATAACAAACATTTAATTCTAGTTCATGAGTCCATGGGGAAAGAAACTTGAGCTCAACTGATCTAGGCTCACTTTGAGCAGGCTTAATTCCAGACGTTAGGATGGGCTTTTATCATTTATTTTTTCATCCATAAAACAGATGTGTCATCTCACTCTTTCCAGGTCAGGTTATGTTAATTGCTTGTAACTATGCAAGAACTAGACATAACAGAACAATGTCAAAATGAATCATTACTATTCTGGTATCTCAAATCTGGTTTAATTCTGTAATCCTCAGAATGCAATAAATGCTTTAGTTTCCATACATATTAAATGGAGGACTAAGAAACGTATGTGTACACAATCAATTTAACCCTGCATGTAAATGGGTTTTCAATGAATCATGTTCACCTTGGAGAGAGCAGTACGACCAGTAGTTAAAAGATAATTCAGGGAGAAATATTTTCATTTTTTCCATATTAAATAAACTGTTCTTTTCAACTTGAAAACAAGAAGGACTGTTATTTTTTAACAATGAATTTCCAGTCACAATTACATTTGCAAGTCTTTAACAGTGCAAGGTTGGAGGTCAGTATATGTCCATGAAATAAAATGGGTTTTGGTCAAACTTCTAATTGGGACGAGGAAAGTTTGAGGTTCTCATGACGTGGTCTTTTCCCTCTAAGGAATCACAAGACCCTCCGACTTCCTTCAGTGGGGTCTGACTCAGAGGAACTTTTGCGAAGAGTTGTCAGTCTGCAGATCCGTTGGAAACTTGAATATGCATCCACATTTTCTCCTTACGGTTCTTTGAGATCATGAAGCTGCAACTGCTCAATTCTCAGACCATCAATATCCCCTGAGAGTCAGTTGCCCAGTACAAAGCATAAAGCAAAGAGCATTGAGGAGAAATGTTACCTAGTGGATCACACATGTAATTATGCATTTCTCTAAATTTCATCAATTTTAGCTCTCTGTGTGTTGGTCAGCAGGACAGTTGTTGGTGTATACTCAAAAGGGCTGCTTGGATCCCATATTTATATAGAGCTGCCATGATCTAAGAACTTCAAGAGTCACTGGTCTCAGCTTTTCAAATTTACATACATAGACATGTCGCTGACTACATACAAGTTACCAGAGGAGTTTTTAAAAATACAGGTTTTTAATAACCGCCAACTTTGATCTAATTGATAAGACTCTCTTAGAATATATCCTGTTTTCTGTGAAAGATTAAAAAAATCTTCTCAGTATGATTCTAAAGATTTGCCAAGTTTATAAAACTTTGACCAAGGACTTGTTTTAAAATTAATCAAGTGGAAGCAGATTGTGAATGAGCTGGGAAAATCAACCTGAACTTCTTTGGCTCCAAGGCAAGATTGAAAACAGGATTATAATTTCTAATCTATGCATCCTGTGGCTTTTAGTTTTTTAGCTTTTAATCATATGCCTGCATAAATATGAAATTTCACTTTTTTGCTGTACAGTTCTTTCCAGGAGTAATATTTGTACTCCACCCCCAAACATGAATACAAACCCAGGTGCAGGCAGTAGCACAGACAAATTTTAAGAAAAGACAATGAAACACTTACTATAAAAATAAATCTCTGGTTATGGTTTAACCAACATAAGTAGCAGTTCACAAACAAAAGAAATACTTATCCATAATATGAATATTAATAGAATGTTACCATTGGAAAGAAGAAACTTACAGATCAGTCCAATCTTACTATTGGGAAAGAAAAAAGGAAGAAAAGTAATCTTTTATTTTTTAAACCTATATGTTAAAAAAATTTTAAATCTCATTTACATGTTAGGCACATCTCCACTTCCACTCCAAGCTTACTAGACTTACTTTCCCCCTTGTTTGGCAGAACTTATATAAGAATACATTAGTGCAGACATGTTGTTTTTCATGCGTGTTATCATCCGTGCAATATATGCATGCAAGGTGCTCAGTATATTCCACCCACCTTTTTAATCCTTGGAAACACTCTTGCATATTTATAGCACACCTTTTCTTTCCTCTTTTTTTTTTGGAAGTCTGCAGTTTGAACTAAGGGCTTCATGCATGCTAGGAAGGCACTCTACCACTGGAATCACAACCCCAGATCTTTTCTGCTTTATTCATAATTCAGGTAGTGTCTGATGTTTTCCCTAGAGTCAGACTCAGATGTGATCTACTTTCCTAAGGCCTCTTGAGTAGCTGAGATCACATATGTGTATCATCATGACCACCTTATTGATTGACATGGAATCTCACTAACTTTTGTCTGGGTTGGCCTTGAACCACAACCCTTTTTTCTCTGCCTTTGATTTAGCTGGGATTATAAGTGTGAGATACTGCACCCAGTTACAAACTCTAATTTTTAAAGCAAATAACAAAAAAGTAAAAAAGCAGAAAATAATTATTTTGAGTATGATCATGGCTAAGATTCTGAGTTAGAGAGTTTCTTCAGTCAGATATATTTCAAGAAATCATCTAATTATCAAATAGTGTAATGACAATAATGGTCATAGCTTACTTATGTGGAATATTCCATTGTTTCTCCCCAAATCCTATGAGGTTGCAATTATTGTCTTCTCTGAAAAAAAGCTAGCAAAGGTTGAGGAAATTTAAAATCATACATTTTCCAAGATTACTTCCAGCTATTTCCCATTAGCATCCTAGAAAACCTTCCTACCCCACAGTTTCTTCATTGCATTCTTTACTTCTGCATTTCTCATAGTATAAATCAGAGGATTTAACATGGGAGTGATAATGGTATAAAATACAGCCACCATCTTATCTTCTGAGAAAGTAGTGTCAGGCCTCATGTACATAAAGGTACAGGGACCAAAAAAGATAATGACCACAGTGATGTGGGAGCCACAAGTAGAGATAGCTTTGCGCCTACCTTCTACGGACTGCTTTCTCAGAGACACCAGAATGATGGTATATGAGATTATCAGGATGACAAAACTTCCCAGTGCAATGGTACCACTGTTAGCTGTCACAACAACACCCACAACATAGGAGTCTGTGCAGGCAAGTTTCAGCACTGGGTGGACATCACAAAAGTAGTGATCAATCTCATTGGGTCCACAAAATGGGAGCTGGACTACCAGAGCCACTTGGATAATAGAGTGCAAGAACCCACCCACCCATGTCCCCAGCAACATTTTATTGCATCTCTCCTGGTCCATGATGGCCATATAATGTAGAGGTTTACAGATGGCCACATAGCGATCATAGGCCATGACAGTAAGGATGAAGATCTCAGTACAACCAAAGAAATGCACCCAAAAAGTTGCAACATGCAACCCGGGTAGGAGATGGTTTTATTTTTCACTAGTAGGTCAATGATCATTTTGGGCACTGTAACTGAAGAGTAACAGATGTCCACAAAAGACAAGAAGTTAAGAAAGAAATACATGGGACACTTGAACAGGTTACCCATGCAAACTGTCATCATGATGAGGAAGTTTCCCAGAAGAATGACTGTGTAGAAGAATGAAAACACCACAAAACAAACTTCTTCAACCTCTGGGTTCTGAGAAAGACCCCAGAAAATAAATTCAGTTACATTGTTTGTTTTTTCCATGGGATGAGTCTGTGAAGTTATGTTCCCACGAAGACATTAAATTACCTGAAGAACACATAAAAAGGATAATGCATTTATTTCTAACTTAATACAAATGAATAATTCTGATAGCTGACAATGGAAAAGTATTATTTAGTGTTAATTGGTGTGCATGTTCAAAAGTGTGGGGTATATTTATTTGGATTATATTACCTCAGTATTATACCCCATTTATTCACTTCAGATGAGGAAGAAAAGGACAGAGAGATAAAGCAAATCACCCAAGCCTCACATTTGGCAAAGTGTTTCTCTATATTTGCTTAACTTTTATTTAGTATAAGGCAGTCTATTTAATTTTGAAAGAAGTGTATTTTGCAATTTGGTTGTATTTATATATCAGGACATGTTTGCTTTTCCTTGATGTAGATGTGAAAATATATGCCCACATTTTCCCTGCCATATACTGCTGTGCTTTATTTACACAGGACTCCTCAGGTGGTTGACAATGAGTGACTTCTGCAGGTCCTTTTCTTGTAATGCTCAGAACCTTTTTGTATTGATGTCCCCTCCTCTGATCCAAAGCTTTCACTGTAAAGGCATGTTGTCACAGAATGAAGAATCAAATTATGCAAATATGACTCTGAAATAATGCTGCTGTAACCTGGATAAATCGTTTATCTTCATGGAACCTTTCTGATTTTTGAAATGACAGTTTTTACTTCATTATCACTTATTATATTGGCAGTCACTTCTACCAGGAAATAGGATCACTCACTATGTATAGAATGGGCAAAAAACCCTGAAAGAGAGACAGAGATAAGGGAATACACAGCATTTTTAAAAAATGGCAGACAAAGCCAGTCCTGTTTTACTAAAAGGAGGGGAAGTGAAGTCTGAGATAATTTCTCTATCTATAAACTAAGAGTGCTGCAATATTCTCCAAGAGTTACTTTGACTTGGTATTCAAACATTTATCTGTTAAGTAAAACAAAGAAAACAACTAAGGGACCACTCAGCCATTTAATGTTAACATGTTCTCCAAGCACCCTAACGTTCCCAGTTTCCTGCTAGCTATTTTAGACATCTCAGTTTTGGATAATTCCAAATATCAGGAAGGGATTGCCATTGAACGATAATTAGAATGAGTATATGAATAGGACACTATTTAATTTAAATAGGGGAATCCTTAGTGGTAGAATTTCAGGCAGTCTAGTTGGGATCACTGGTTTGTTTTAGTGGAAAGGGGCATGAGAATAGTTGTGATTAGAGGGAGTTCAAGGTTCTTTCTCAAATCAAGCCATGCATATAAATGATGGCTTGTAAACTGTCCTTCTCAGAATACATCCACTCATGACCCATTGGGCTTAGTGCTTACTATTACTGAGCTCTGCTCTCAACTAGCCCTTTACAGCAAAATTGTATCTGGCATTTCCAGCTTTTAGAAGACTACAGGACTGTGTTTCATCAGGTCCATACATTAAAGTTGATAGAAAAATCTGCCTTCTCTTGGGCATTACAGAATGGTGAAAGGAGGGGGTGACAGAGGTTGAATAGGATCAAAGTGCTTTATATGCACGTGTGAAAACACAATGATGAATTATATAAATTATATAAAAAGAAGAGGGAGTACAGATAAGAAATAGTAATAAAGGTGGTAAATCTGATCAAAGCAAAAAATATCTATGTGAGGAACTATCACAATGAAATCCTTTTGTATAATTACCACATGCTAATAGGAGGATAATAGAATGGTAATGATAGCATCAATAATGTTATGCAGTTTCAGAATCATGCACATTTCCCTGTGTTTACATAATGTTCATGAATCTTTGATTTTTCTATTGATTAAAAAAAGTACTCCATGGAGAGATCCCTTCAATTTTTGGTAGCTCTAATCACAGCAGTTTTGGGGCAATTTTTTAATTTATTTTACTAGATTGTCCTCTAGGACAAACTAGGAAATGACACACAAGGTTGCAAACAATTTCTTTACTACCCAAAGACTAGGTGCTAGAGAAAGCTTCACCTGTCCTTAATTCAAGGTTCATCTCAAAGACTTTTTTCCTCCCCTTTCCCAGCATATCAAATGTGATAATGCCTCATTGTCTTTTAATCATTGGCTTTTCCTTATTCCACTCATGCCACCCTATCTCATAGTCATGCATACATACACTTTATTATCTTATCATCAAAATAATTTCATATTGCCTTTTATTCAGAAAAGTAGTGTATTGCAGTTATATCACAGTGTAAACAATTTAGCAATTTAATGAATTACCCATTTCCACAAACATTCTGTATTAATTTTAGAAGAAACACAAATCTCACCAGTATTTTTCAGGGATTGCATTCGCTTTGTTTTTCTTACCTTCTTCTTAGATGATATAAAAATGTCTGTCCAAAGTAAAGTAAGAATGATAATTGAAGAATTGCCTTGTGAATAGTTAGCACTGAGAATAATGACACCCTAAATTCAAAGACTGCTAGCAGTCAATTTTCTTTGTTCCTGATTAGGTGACCTACTGAATTCTACAATTTGACCATGCTGTTGACAATAACTCTCTTTTTCTACTTCTTACTTCATTTACTTAAAGAAAATGAAGCAAAATGATAATGCCTTAGGGAGAGCTTTTCCCTAACGTCTTCGTCCATAGTCAAAGCCAAATTGCACCTAACAATGAGATTAGTTTACAGTTTTTGAGTTTGAACATGAATAAATAAATAAAATTATAAATATAAACCTATTTGATTCTCAAATCATAACTCTACCCCAAAGCAACTTAGAAAACATAAATAACTATTTTGTGATCACTTAGTTTGTTCATTGAATTAATGTAATTCAATGGACACATTAATAATATATGCTTAATATATAATATTAAAACATCTATCTCTAGGTTCTTCATTTGATGTAGTCGGGCTACACTTTTGAAATTTCTATTTGAATAGATGGAGTGGATTCAAATATGCTGTTGCAATTCTCTGCTTTGCATCTTGTGTCTGTGTTTATTTCTACAGAAAGCAGAGGTAGGGTAGAGATTCATTTCTGGACTATATTTGTGATGATTAGTGGTGCTTTTAACTTTTCCATTGTCTCCTTTCTCTTTATTTTTTTGTCCTTTTAACTCCCCCTTCCTACCTGTATCTTACCTTCTTCATTTTCACACACCATTTAAAATGTTAGTTACCTTGTTCATATCCCCACTCCCAAGAGCTATCAGAGAAAACAAATGAGACAGAAAAATCATGAAGTGAAGGAGCAATCTCCTCAGGTTTGTGGAAATACTCAAAATGATTTAGTTACTATATCAGTTTCCTGTTGCTGCTACAACCAAGTACCACAAGCACAGAGGCTGAAATCAACACAGATGCAACGTTCTGTAGTTACGTAAGCCTTCGATCTAAATTTGGTCTCAATGGGCTAAAATCAAGATCCTGATTCAGTGCATCCTCTGAAAGTTCTAGGGAAAAACTTGTTTCCTTGATTTTTTTTCAGCTTTTAGAGGCTGCCTGCTTCCTTGTGACCCTTTCCTCATCTTCAAACCTGGAAGTGGCGCATCATCATAGCTTTCTCTGATTCTTGCCTCCTCTTTTGTTTCCCTATTTTAATTTTAATAAATTTGTGAATACACTGGACACTGGAAAACATCATTTTTAAAGGTCAAATGACCTTTATTCCATCGACAATATGAATCTCTCTTTTCATCCTACAAAACACACAGATGTTATCAGTGATGTCATGGACATCTTTGGTGTACCTCTTCTGCTTATCACAGTTAATCCATTAGAAGAGGAACTGAGAAAGTCAGCTAACCTTCAGTTTTCCTACTTTGCAAAATGTACTTTAAGATGTAGGAGATGTTTGAAAATATGCTTTTATGAAATGTCCATTTAATTTTAGAACATGAACACTCTGCAAGTTCCATGTCAAGCAGCACAACATTTCAGCATTCCAGACACGTAGCTTATGAACCTTCTTTGTCATTATGATCATTCCCACCTCTGAACTACAATTATTTCTGGAGGCATATTCATTATACTGGGATATAACAACCAAGGAAATATTTTTTTCATGAAATATAAGTTAGGCTCTTGAATAAGGTGAGTTAGGTAAATGATATTATTAAGTGGAGAAACAGATCCTTCCTCAAGGGTGACACTATATATGTCAAAAGTAAAAAGAAAATCAAGAAAGTTGCAAGTCAGTATTTATGTAGTACTGATCATGAAAACAGTTAAAAAAATTTTAAATGAAATCATTTCTGTTCTCTGATGAGCTAACTCTTGCTTTATACCTGAATCTCAATAAGTTTGTAGGCAATGCATCATGTATGGAAGTCTATTTGAACAGTTTAGCATAATGTAATATTTTTTGAGATAACCCAGGCTGACCTCAAACTTGCAATCTATCTGCCCTAGTTACCAGAGTGCTCAGATTGCAGGTATGAGGCATGTACCACCACACCTGGTTCTAAGGTATGGCTTTTCATAATATTTACCACTGTTTTAAAGGTGAACAGTTTCTGATCTTTGAAATGAGCAATCATTGTATCAGTCTTTCACCTCCTTGGATAGGTTTATTCCTGGGTAGCTTTTAAAGCTACTGTGAATGGAATTGTTTTGCTGATTTTTTTCTCAGCCTGTTCAGTGTTGGTATTTTTATTTTATAATTCTTTCTCACTCCCTTCTACTTTCCTTACCCATTCTGAATACTCACTGTATCCTACTTAGCATATTCATCTCAGTAATTCAGGGTGTCACACATTCCTGTGGTTTTCCTACAGATGTTCACATCTTCACAATAATCTGATACTACACTGTCCTTAAATTGTGGAATTTGACAGGGTTGTCACTGTTTAGTCAAATTGTGGAACTTGTCCAATACATTTCCTTTATAAAACAGCCTCAATACATTTGAAACATTAGAAAACCCTACATGAAGAAACAAATAAATTAACCTCCACAATGTAAGATTTCAGTATTACAGTCTGTCTGTCTGATGAGTAAAGTTGTCATTAAATTTGGAAGAT